ACACACTAAATATTTGTGTGCTTTCCATACAGGCTACCTGATATGCAGTTTTCCGTTGCTGACTTTTTAGTTTCTTCTTTGGTACTGTGACATAAAAAGGCCTGAGTCCTTGTCTCTGTGACCAAGCACAGATCACCACATAGCCTCAAGAAAAAAAAACAAAACCACCAAGACAAGCAGTTCAATTTCTTCATGAACTAAAAGTTCCACTTGATAGATCAGCTCTTGAACTTAAAAGCTGATGGCTATGGAACTATCTACAGGAATTAGCCTGACTGCCAGAGCATGAAATAAGATGCCGAAATGAGCCCACCGTGTCCAGATGAATTGCAGGCTCCTTAGAAATGCTACTGAACACAACGTCCTGGTCCAGTGTTTGCTGCGGTATATTTTCCAGTCATCTGATCTACCTCACTAAGTGCTCAGACTGTGCCTTTCACATCCCATTCCAGCAGCAGCCCTTGGGAGGCCTGGGAAACTCTGACCTTTGAGGTGAACCAAGAAATAAGAGATAAGAGTTTGGACACTAAAAGGAGGCGAAAGAATTGGCAAACACAACTATTCTGCCAGCATTTGGATGCAATGAAGCATTTTTTATAAAAATATTTCAGCAAAGTATGCTAATTTGTGAAAGGTAATGTCTCTGCAAAACAATAATTTGTGATCAGCCTTGAGCAGGAAATACACACACACACTGTTCAGATGTGTGCCCCTGCTCTGTCAGAATAAGGAGACACGAAAACTTCTTGAATCAGAGCAGTAAGGGAAGCCAATCCACACATACATTTGGAGAACACACCTTTTGGGTGAACTCTTTCAAAAGGTTTTGTTTCATTCTAAAGAAAATAAAATTTAATCCTCCTTACTTAAACCACAGTATTTAGGTCACCATCCCTGGTTAGCAGGAGCCTTATTAATACAGAAGGTGCATTTGCATTCCAAGGGGTACTGTGTGAGCTGTGTCTGCCAGGACAAGGTAAAGCACAGTGATGGCATACGGCTGGGACAGGAACAAAGATGGGTTTTGTCTGAATGATGAAAAAAAACCCCAGAATTGGATTTCGTAGCTGTCAAAATGAGCTTTTGCTGAGAAGTACTACAGCTGTTACCTGAAAACCACGAGACGAGGGTGTGACTTTTTTACTTTAGAGAAAACAAATATGACAGTTGATAAATTTTTACATCATATTGTAGACAATAAAAAAAACCCCACAACAATTTTAAAACTGCACAGTGAAGTTTTATAAGACACAGCTGAGGAACTTCAGCTTTTTACATTATTTAAATCAAATACATACATTAAGAGAAAAATAATGGGAATGTAAGTTTGTACTTATTTCAAGAAAATAGATTCATCTGACAAACAATGTTTCAAGAGTAAATAAACCTTGTAATGCAATTACTTCATAACAAATGCACATCAAGCTACTGCAGTCCTATACATTGTACTTCAGCTGTCAACAGCCAATTCATCTGCTCGGTAGCCAGGACACTTCATTTACAACACGTGTAACAGCACACAGATGGTAAGATGCACAAAGCAATGTATGTAAGATAAAATGTTACAAAACACTTGTCAAAATAAAATATATATGCAAGTCATCCCTAGTATTTACAACAAAGTTTTAAATTAGAGATCGTTCAGAAGGCATCTCCTACATACGAATGCCACACATACAGAAAAAAAAGCAGGAAGGCAGTCAAAGAAAGGTACTGTGTTAGTTATGGCTAAAGACCTTTGGCTCCAAAACTCTGTTACAATTATTTTCCAAAGACAACTAAAATGTGGAATATTTGAGTAGTCTGTCTTTGAGCTCCGTTATTCCACTGACCACTAAAACTCGATGTGAAATTTAGCATGGCAAGAGCCACTTGTAAAACAATCTTTATTTTATACATCAAATGCTCCGAGTTAGATGCAATTATGGTTTGGCATTTTCCTAACTCAGTGGGAACGCATTTGAGGACAATTATATTTTATTGCATCTCATGCATAAAGTCTGAGGTTATCTGCTCAGCAGGCCATCGGAAAGGCTCTGGCTGTGCTTTATCCAAATGAGGCACAAATGTGCTTAGTAGTTGCCCTAGAACTTTTTAATAGCAACTTATAGCATGCAAAAGGTAGAGGAAAAGAGCAGATGTTGCCGTGATACCTTTCTGATCATATATAAGTTTTGTCCTCAGGAGGAGGATCAGGGCAAGAGCTGCTAGAATACAAACTTTTACATTGTAGCTGCAACTCTTTTTCCCACAGACTCTAAAGTCAGGCTGAACCCCAAGTGAATCTTTGTCTCAACTGCTGGACAACATAATTGTGTGTTTTCCTTTAACTATACTTTGTTTAAAAGATTATAGTGTAGTCTAAATTTAGCCTGCTTTGTTATATTTTATCACTTAGTTGCAAGGTCAGATTGCAAAAACAGACACAGAGATTATAAAACAGCCGTGTCTGTAAGTAGAGTACTATATGTAAAACTGTCCTGAGTAATCCACACCATGAAACGTTTGGTTTTTTTATCTCTTTGATATTCACTTCTTGAGAAAAAAAATGCCACATCCAAAACCATATGCAAACATTACTGTCCATTTTTAGGGCTAAGGCACCAGCACTATGACATGTGAAGAGCTTTCATGGGCACTGACATGTCAGAAGATAGATCTCAAACCCCTTTTCTGCCAGCACTCCACAGAACGGAGCCCTGAAAAGAAAGAGGTTTTAACAAAGATACGTACGTAAGAGTGAATCTCGTAACGTCTTCAGGTCCAACTGGGAAAGTTTCTGGGTGAGTGCTGCAATCCAACCTCAGACATGTTTTTTTGCATCTAGAACAAGTTTTTCAAAATGTGATTATGGAAAAAAAATCATCTCCACTTCCACAGGACGTGAATCACTTTGGCTTGTGGGCCTCCATGGCAAGTACCCACAAAAATGGTTATAAAAGAAACACAAAAGGGTTATTCATTTAAGGGGAAGGGCATGCATCCATGCCTGAATTTGGAAGTCTGCTCCTTGTGTTTAAAGTGAGCATTTAGAATTATCTTTTTTAAAAAATCTAGCAGAAATGGCTTGTTTGAAACATCAAAAGAAATACAACCTAGCCAGCTTTTTCCACTAAGTTTCCGATGTGTTTTCTTTTCTCTGAATCTTTGAAAATGTCAGTGCATATTTCCCGTTTTTAACTGTTTCGGGTCATCTTCCATCGCTATGGGAAAGCACAAGCAATGAAGTTCACTATGCAGTGAACAATTCAGCTGAACACCACCAGACTTTGCATTATTGCTGAACTATATACACAAGGCATTTGAAATGTAGAGTTGTCAATAGACGTCATTTAAAATCAAAACCACAAGCCTGGGCTTTTTGTTAATTGCCACAAAGTTATCAAATCACAAAATCTAGCAACTAATGGGCTTCACAACACTGACGATAAATAAAAATATAGAGGTAACAATAGTAGTAGGAACAAATACATGTTTAAAATAAGGCTTTTTACATTGTTGTTAAGATGCCTGGCCTCTAGCCCCTTGTTTGTTCTTCATATATTACAGATCGATGGCAAAGCTGATTGTGTCCATTGTCAAAAAATACCTTTATCATCAGATAATGCCCCTAATCAGCAGCATAGAATAAAGTATTGTAAAGACATTCATAGCAAATCAGTTCTGAAACAGATGGAGTTTTTCTTTCCTTCCATATTACCAGCAGTCTTGTCATCCTTAATGAGAGTTATCAAGCAGAAATGAACAGTGATGCAAATATCAGGATCATGTTTCTTCCTGGTGGCTTTCTAAAAGTTACTCTCCCACTTCAACTTCACATCAGATGCAAATCGTAGCAATGCAAATCATGTATTGTATATGCTGGCCAGAGCTGACCTTAATGAGTCAGGATCTTCCCCTTCCAATACAGACTGACAACTCTGAGATAAAATTGCATCTTTGGTCCACACAGTTTCTCTGTCCCAGTACGGAAGAAATAATTGGTCAAAACCCATTGTCGATTGACTGTGTATAGGAAGCATGGATCCAGACTGCTTCAATATATTTACAATACCATTCATCCATTTCCGAAGTCAAGCTATATAAACACAAAGTGTGAGAACACAGCCAGCAGTCAGCACGTACTGTCTCAGCTCTGACTTTGTACATTCACATTATCTCCATTAGAAAATAAAAAAATACTTTTTACACAGAGAAATAAGCATATTGGAAATATAAAGAAGCATCTCCCAGGCAAAGAAGTGCGCAAAAAGGGATATAAAAGCTGTATAGCAAGGAGCATACATGCACGCAGTATATTGCTGTGCCTGAAAGTAATCAATCTGAGATGCCCTGGGCTCCTTGTTTCCACTTGTGTGCAATAAATGCACATGTCTTTATAGTCATGGTTCTATATGACACAATAAAGTTTCCCTGTTCCAATCTGGAATATGGTAAGGCCTTGCGGGATGTTCTCCTGCCATTTGGCAATTTAATAGAAAAAGACAGGAAGGATTAGGGTCCATTAAATTCTGCAGCAGCTGGTTAATCGCATGGGATGTTTCCAACTGATTTTAATGGGTTGTCTCCGCTCAGAGCTCCAAAAGAAAGGAGAAAAGTCTCCTAAGATTCCTTGCTGACATACCCCTAAGGAAAAATTCCTCCCTATCCTAAATTTGGCCATCGAGATAAGGTAAAAAAGAATGAAATGTTACAACAACCTGCATGATTACAGCACTACTTGAATATAAGAAACAGAGATCAAATACTGCTGCTTCAGAGTAACAGCAAGTTGTCTTTGTCAGAAGGGAGACTGCTCTTCATCAGTGATGCTGGCACTTGGCAACATCGACTTCAGGACAGTCTTGAGGAACTTCGTTCTTCTTCTAGACAACAGTGGTACTTCTGGCTCAAGGTTTTTCCTCCAAAACCGGAGATCCACTGAGCTTGAAATAACCGTGTCTCCAAGGTCCTTCCCTGGAGCAAGACTCCCTCCGTGTCCTTCCCAGGTCCGTGGCCTCTCACTTTTTAAAGGGGGTGAGTTTGTTGAAGGTGTGCCAGAAGAGCGATGGCTTCCGCTTGGGTTCTGCCAGGGCAAAAACCTGCTGCTGCGGGATGCTGGTAGGCACAGTGATGTGGCGCTGATGAATAGGATGCAGGCTTTGGTGTGGAGGAGGCACAGGACACCCGTTATAGCCTACGCCTGCAAAAGGAACAGTTTAAGATAGCCTATGAGTCAGCTAGCAGAGCAGCCAATACTGGGAAAATTTAAGCACAGGACTATGGGATGAATTCAATGGTCAATAAAGTCAGCTTGATTTCACCATGATCTTGAATGGAAGTACTACCAGAAGTTGCCTTTTCTGATGTTAAGTTTTTTTAATTGCTACATTGGTTTGGCTTAAGAAGAGAATAATGCCAGTAAAAATAACATTACAGAATGACCAAAAATAAGCAGCAGTTTAGCAACAATATAGCCTGGCTATATTGTTTGCGCAAGTAAACCCTGGTATTTCAAAGGAATGACTTAACCCAGTAGATACTTGCATTTTAGTCAACTCTCAGAACAAAGCTGGCTAAAATATTGCTACCAAGAAAAATATTTTTTCAATTTGGAAAATGTTTTTCCAGGCTAATATTCTCAGACTTTGACCTTTGTGCATTCTGAACAGAATCTCCTGATCACAACTTTCAGCCACTCCTCTAAAAAGACAGATTTTATAGGTATATAGAGAATGATAAAGATAAAATGGTTTAATAATATTCATCCCAGGGAGCAGAGGACTACCTAAGACAAACTCCTTCATTACTAAATTCAGACTTAATCTGGTCCCATTTTCTCAATTTATTCTCTCAACACACTATTTACCCAAATTTGACTCTAAAATGGAGAAGGATAAAATCACATTTTCTAGGAGAGAAAAGGAATAAAAAAGCCATTTCCAGAGAAACACATTTCTAGTCCATCCTTCCTTCTAGCCTAGGGCAGAAAGAAGCCATTCTGAGTTTGTTATCATAAATACAGCAACATGTGGCTTGCAAAAGAACTTTAGGATATTTTAAACAAAGCATAGAATTGCTAAAGAGGAGCAAGCTGTTTGAGTAAAAGCAAATCAGTAACTCTAATTTCTAACTTAAATCTCTGCATGCACGTTCTTACATCATTAAATAACCCACGTGCCTTACCTCTTGGGTTTCTTCTTTAGCAAAGAGAATACTGACTTGCCTGTTCGAAGGAGATTGGGGAGCTCACTGTCTACTAAACAGTTTGCAAAGGCATTGGAATTTGATATTAAGATACAGGTTAATGGAAATTGTTTTAAATCCATGTAAACCATGAAAATTTTTTTAGAATATTGGAGAAGTCAACTGTAGTCAGGTTATGCTATTTCCTAGGATGAAGAACACTGAAACATAACAAAGCAATTCTGAACACCTACCTTTAATTTTTCCATGTCTTGACTTACGAGCATTCTGCATGGCTTGTTTCTTCTGGTTTTCTGAGATTTCCATTCCTATATAAAAATGCAAAGTAGGGTGCTGGTATGAAAACACTGTATCTAATACTGGATCACATTAAATTAAAACAAGTAAGTAAACTATATTTTGAAAAAATAAATTAGTTAATCTTAACAGCAATATACCTCAAGTTTTGAGAAGCGTATCTTACTTTGTCGTAAAAATTTCAAGATAGTTTTTCACTGGGATAATAACAGAACATCAGTATGCCTGTAGATTACTGGTAAAAGCTGCTTTCCAGTTCCTGTGGACGGTAATTACTGGGGAACTAACCATACAAAAAGTTCTCTTTATAGATAAGCCCAGATAACAAGAGACTTAAAAAAAAGTGTAAAATAACACTTCTGAGAGCTACAGGCCACGAAGTAATCTCTTTTCACTCACTTTGAGCTACCTTGAGGCCACAAATTGAAGTCACTGGTGTTGCAGTAGTACAAATTTGGGTATCACTCCCTCCAGTCAGAAAAGACAGTATCACGTAACCTGTCAAACACCAAAGCAGGCTGTGATGTGCTTGTGGCTCCATCGGACTGGGGCTGGATCCCTCACGCGGGTTTCTCATGTACTTGGTTTGCATACTTGTATGACTTACATGACGCTCTCATATGTGACCAACCCTGTGCTATTTACTGTCATGTGACAGGTGGAGGAGATGCAAGACAGCTGCTATGAAAGGTGACACCAATGACTGGTGTCATGTGAAGCCCACGTACGGCCACTCCAGTTTCCTCTCCCTGTGTACAAGACAGTTGAAGATACACAGATACCTTACATCTGCACAAGGAAACAATGGGGTGAACGTGCTGTCACTCAGATGCAAGCAAAGAGCTCAGAAGCTGCAATTCGAATGAAGCATCTGGTTTGGTTCCGTTTTGCATCTTCCTGTATTTCTCCATACTTTTAAAATTCCCTTCTTTTTTTTTTAGCTTGATCTTTTTTTTTTTTAAGACTGAACTTATGAAGAAGTTATTACAAATCAGGCTATTAACTTACAATACAACAGCAGTTAGCCATAATTTTGGGGTAGCAGAAGTTTATTTTATTCTGCAGGGTTTTTTCCTTTATAGAAACAAGGAAACATTTAAGAAAATGAAAGCAATTTCATCAACAGAGATCAGACCACTTTCTTAGGATTGCTATTAGTGGTTTGGAGAAGGATTTTCTAGCTGTGGTCTTTTCCTCCCGTGTACTCATAATAGCTAAGAAAAGTTAGATATGGTTTGGGCAAAAGTGACTTTGAAAATAGAAGTAAAATGCCATTTGCAGTTCTGAACTGGAAGAGTATGTATTTGTTCTCTGAGTGGCTAGATTAGAGGCTTTGTGTGAAGTCCAGCAAGATAACTTACAAAATCAACAAGACAAATTTAAACCTGAGGTTAAGAATACTGACAGTTGGTTTTGGCTAAAGGAAATGTTCAATTATGCCTGTAAAATGAAATTTTATAAAAGAAGCAGTCCTTTGGGCAACAGGAGGAAACATCCAAGCTGCTGTGAGTTGCAAGACCAGATGGGCATTAGCTATTACAACTCAAACGTCTTTCTTCTGGTCCATGATACCTGTGACAAAACAGGTACTTTGGAATCACGAGTTGCAACATTTGAAAAGCAAGTTTCCAGAAAGCTGGTTGTTGCATGGGCAGAAAAGACTGCATGTGTCTATGTGCCATCATCACAAATACAGTTTTGCATTATGGTGAATTTTACTTCACTATATTGCACAGTGCCTGAAGAGCAGAAAGCACGATGGACCCTCCCATGCAATCCTTGTGCTGAGCACCTTGGGAATTTGTGTTCAGCCCTAAATAAGAACTAGTGCTATTAAGACAAATCTCATCATTAACCCTGCTAATGCCACCACTATTGAATGGTTACCCCTTCTGAATAACATGTGTTGATTTTCACGAGGTCTCAGTAGAATAAATAATTACACTTAGGGCTGTAGCTGCTACACCTTTGCAGTTTCCTCATGCTTGGGGATTTCTGCAGGAATGTCACTTAGAAGGAATGGTAACACCCCACTGCCTGCACAACACAGACCTGCTGCTGCCCAGCACCAGCAGTAGTGTGAGCCTCAGAAGTATCCTGTGTGCAACATTTAAGACCACTCAACATACACTCCTAGTGCTCCATAAAGCAACTGCTGCAGGAGGAGGTGTAGGTACAGATTTGAATAGTTCAAGAACGCTCCTCAGAAAGGATGGGAATGGAAAATGCTCACATTTTATCTTCTTTTGCTCAGTCCTGCTCACAAAAGTGCAGGAGCTGTGATTTATTCCATATCACCCTTCCATATGACTATACTACTGTTCTCATATACTGGAGTGGAGGCTTTCTGTAACTTTGTTGCAAGAGGGCTTGTTTCATTATAATTAGATTCTCTGCATTGCTTTATTACCTCCTGATCACCTTCACCCTTCGGCAATATTCACTTTTTAGGAGTTCTGGTTAGCTCAATTTGGAAAGGCAGCCACCGTCTGTCCCCCGTGACTGAACAAGCTCTACACAGAGCAATCTGGAAAAGCCATCAGTTTTGTGCCCAACAGTTCATCATGTTGCACCATGATGTTCAGCACTGGAGAAGATTTGGTTTTGAAAAGTTTGAGGAAAGTTTAGTTGTGGCTGCTTCATTGTTTCCTCAAGATTTGAGGTGATTTGGGTTAATTACAACAGTTGGTGCAATGGGGAAGAGTTAAAATTGGGTTTAGAGTATGAATTGGTAAAGTGAGAAGCATTTTCTTCATCTTATAAACCATCTACAAATGGAGGAGGCTGTACTTTTGTCATATTGACAACAGTATCAAACAAACAAAAGCCACTAAGATCCAAAGGTTTATTAATTTTGCAATCTAATCTAATTCCTAATCTAATCTAATTCCTGTTCTTCTGACCAAGTGTTTTAAGTGAACATGGAATTATATCATCCACTTCACTGCATTTCCAATTTTAACCTGCTAGCATCCAAAGCCTAAGCCTGAAGAGTGTTATGAAAAGGAGTAGTTCTCATGCAGTTAACACATACAGATGCACTAATATTTTCATTGGTTCTTTAGGAATATTAAAAAGAATTTTATTTTTCTTACTACTGTTGCTGTCTTCTTTGTCTACATTTTCTCAAAGAAATTTTGCTGGAGCCTTTGACAGTGATCTTAAAGGAAGCATGAAACTATGCAAAAAAACCTCCCAAAATCCAACCCCCCAAAACCCAAAACCTATCTTAAATATACATTCACACAGAAGACACTCTCCTTAGAATGTCCCACAGACTGTGGGTCTAAAGACGATCTTAGGATTTGCTAACTTTCCCTGCTCACTTGAGGATGGGCTTGATTTCTCCGTGAACTACCCAGTGGTGCTATTGTTGGGTTTGTAACTGATGGCACCACACAACTGCACAGGCGTTCCGGACACAGGAGATGCCATTATATGACATGGACAGTATAAATCTACAATTACTGCTGCTTGGCTTTATAATAAACTGTCCTTTACAAACAGATGTTTCAAGCCAATAATTCACGCAAAAGTGATATGATTTTGGATGGATTTTTATTATTGATTGGTCTCTGTGAATTGCTTCTTGTCTTATCTTTTACTTCCTTCTGCTCCATAACGCACCAGAATCACACGGGTTATGCTGTGACACGGATATTGCAGCTATCTGCCCTGGACCTTTGGCCCACAATGACAGGGGAAACACACCTGAAAAGCCTTTGCTTACACAGCTAAAGGTCATGTCAGGTAAGAAAGAACCAGCAGTCCCAGAAGGCAGAGTACACATCTGCACAAAGCATAAAGAAGTGTAAAACCAAGAACATTCCCCTTTGTTTTGACCACCTTTTAGAGAGGAAATCCTTCCACTCACCCATTTCCTTGTCTTCCTGAACTCTTCTCCTTTCACTTTCGCATGCTTCCATCCATCTCTTTTTATCTTCCTGTTTTTTCGCACAGAACAAATGAATCTCTTCTGTGGTTCTGTTTATTATCTTAAAAGCATTCTTGACATTAATGTTAAAGTCTTTGTCTCTGCCATCTTCAGTGTCCACAATTTCCATCTCATCCATGTCAATACGGTCCTTATAATATAAGATGTCCCTTCTCAGTAAGTCCTTCTTACAGAACACAAGTTGATGGTCAAAAAGGAAGAAAGTCCTCTGCTGGCTTTTGCCTTGCTTTGATATTTTGGTCAGTTCTCCTGAGTGGATCAGTTCTGAGCTTCTGGCTAACACATCTGGTCCCTAAGAAGATACATATATATGTAGTAAGTAAATAACATTTTAGGATCTTACTGTGTGCCTAAACAGTCTTGTTTTATAATCATGTTTTAAGTTCATTTGTATTTCTTGTATTTTTATTATTAGATTTGAAAACCTCATAGAATGTAGATATCTCATACAGGCAAACTCAACAAGTGTGGTTCTGCTCTACTTTATATCTGCATAAGGCAGGAGAAAACTTGTTAAAATTGGTGAAGCCAGTTCAAGTTCTGACAGAACTACTAAAAATTCAAAGGAGACTCTATAGGTCTAGCATTTTAAAAAAAAATCCATTTTGTCATCTCAGTCCAGTGTCATCTCAAAGAAAGACAGAGTGAGTATCCATGTTAATACATGCTGCTCTTCCTGATTTACAAACGAGGTAATCAGTAACAGAATCACTGCAAATGAAGCAACTGGACTTTTAACTGAGCAATGACCAGCTGAAAAGTAGGCATGATAAAATACCTGCTACACAGAAAGACATATCCTGTAGGGCACATGAAGTACTGTACACAGTACCTTTGCTCAGGACAGGCTGACACTTACCTCCCAGTCTACAATTGAGACCTGCCAACGTGCAATCTTGTCTATGCTTTCTAGTCTTCTTTTCCGCTCATTGATCAGGCACGCTACGTTCTTCATAGCCTCATATGCAGCTTTTATATTGTTATAATCACTGTGAAATATAGGCACGTTTCAAAGAGCACTTATGCAATGGATATGATGCAATCATAATCTGTGACACAGTAATTGAACTATTAGCCTGCATTAGCCATTTATCCCTCTGCTCAGGGTACTTAAGTAAGAAAAATGTGATTCTCAGCTATCCTGACCCTCACATTCTAAGTCTGTACTATTCAGTGCTGCTGTACTGCTAGGCTTTATCCTAGCAAAATATCAAACTGGTGGAATGAGGCAGAGGAGGTAGATTAATGAGTTGCAATATTGTCTCTACTGAAAACAATGGTAGAACTCCCACTCACCTCAGTGCTACCTACATTTCACCAAAGGGATTTGGTTTTAAACAAGATTTTAGTAGGATTTTATTGGGAAGGGCATTTTTTTAATCATGTTTAACAACTGTATTTTTTTCCTTATTCCCAGTGGCTGGGTCAATGAACGCAAATGTAGAACGCTATGTGGGCAGAAAAAATACTGAAAGCAACCTCAGACAAGGTATGCAAGGGACCATGGGCACTAGAGAGAAGATTTAAACACAGTGCTGACAAAGTTGCCTGTTTTCATGGAACAATTGTGTGAGAGCCAAGACAGTCACCTTCTCCTGTCTGCTCCAGGTCAAATGCAAGCCAAGCCTCCCGTCCTTCTTCCATTGCTCTGCTCCCCCCTTTCTTTCCCTGAGCTCCCCCTACACTTATGAAACTCCTCAACCAGAGGATTTTCACTTCCCTTTGAACAGCATTCCTCACTCCTTCACCTTCCTCAAGTGGAGTCTTGGAGAAGAGGGAAGGAAACTAACATATTCTTGCCTCAGAGTCCCAGCAGAGCAGCTGCCTTCCCTCCATTATCAGAATGCTTCTTGCAGAAAAGGGAGCCAAAGGTAGAAAACAGCAACAAACAGCCAAAAATAAATCTTGCAAAGGGCTCAGCCTCACTGTCCTTTTATCTGCTTCTGTCTCAGCTCCTATTTTCATGGGCTGCTGCCTTCCCTTCCAAATCTGCACATTGCTCTCCTCTCTCTGTATCTATAGCAACTCTTCCCTGACACACTGTATACAAAAAGTGAGATTAACAATAACAGGATCATACCAACGTCAGGGAGATGTCCCACAGGGTGACCGCATGATACCCATGCCACTACTCTTGCCCTCCCTTATCTCAGTTCCTTCTTTCTCTCTTGGTGTGTGTGTGTTATTCCACACTTGCTGCATAACCTGTGGCCTTCACGTCAGGCTGTGTACATTAGGCCTTCAAACTTTTTATGATAACAAAACAAAAAGCTATCAAAAAAAGCCCAGCTGGCTGGAGCTTTGCCGAGGCTCCATGTGGGTGTCAGCCTGCCTGTCTGTGAGCATCTCTGTACACTGGGTGCCTCTCTGGGCTTGCAGATGTCCCTGGATGCTGTGTCACAGAAGAGAAAACCAGGCACTACAGGTGGACAGTGGCAAGACCATGCTGTCACTTCAACTGCAGGTTTAATAGCTCACAGAGTAATCTTTCTAAAATTAACAGCAGTGAGAGAGATACTCAAGTTAGTAATTGTTATTGCAGGACTTCCCAGGTAGCCACAGAATTGAATGGAGGCATTTCACACTGAACGTCAGTACTTCACATCCCCTATGCTTTGTCCCTGGCAAAAATCCTGTCAACTCCAAGGGGAGTTTTCTCAAGGTTAAAGAAGTGCAGACTTTAGCCAAGGAAGCACTGCCTCAGGCTGCATTTGGACTTCGAGCACAGGAGTCACAATGGAGCATTTTCCATGTGGTTGTACAAGGTAAAAAGGCAAACATTTGAAGATAAAATCTTAATTTAGTCAAAGATTTAATCAGCTCAGGGGTATACTAGAAAGGGTAATAACCTGTAACTTAAATTTATATTTATCCCAGCTGAATATCTAATATGTGGGGTTTATTGCAAAAAATCCATTGTTTATTATCAGTAAGTTTCTAAAGAATATTACCTCTAAACTTGCTTAGATTGTGGAGTTTTTTCTATGGCCCTTTCTACCTTTTCTTTTTTGTCCCTGACATTCATGCAGCTTCCCCCGTTCTTCTGTGGATTTCCTTCTCCTTCATTCCTTTGACACATGAGCTTTTTTTCATTCTGATGTACACATCGCTCCCTGCATCCTATTTCCTTTCCTTCTCCCTCTTACACTTACTCCTCATTCTGTCTTCCACCCTGCCAGTCCCTTGTGCTGCATTTTCAGGCAGTGGTTTTGCCAATATTTACAATGGTTCCAGGATGCCAACCTAGTAAGGAGCTCCTGCCTATAGCGGTCAATGGGAGCTTTGTTCCTGTTCTCAAAAGCCTCAGTGTTGTGTCACCAAGAAAGCTTGAGTAATTAGGTGTTATTATTATCCTAAGATTTTTTTTATTCTCTCACCTGTGCTCCTGAGTGGTGTATTTGAGCAATTCTGCAAGCTGCAGAGGGTATTTGCAGATTTTCTGAACAGGTGTGAGAAGAAAACCATCAATGGCAATGTCAATCATCTGCTGAAGCAAGCGACAGGCCTCAAAGAAGTGACGGTATTTTCCCTGTTTCATTAGCTTGGAAAGTTCAATGCAGGCACTGGGATGATTGTTGCAATACTCTGAATAAATAGCAAAGCCTTCTTGCTATTAAAAAAAAAAAAGTCAAAGCTGTAACTAAAGGATTTTGTCTATAAAGCAGGAAATATAATTTTGTAACATCTACTATATTTAATAAAATTATTTAATCCATTTCCTATATTGTTTCCAGGCTGATCAGTCTTGAAACTATGCAGAAACCTACTTTGAAACTGGCAAAATTTCTTTGTAAGAACACAGAAGTAAAGACCTCCACTGAGACAGGATAATCAAACGCACTTTAAGAAATACTTTTCTTTGGGCAAGACAACTTTAGGCTTAGCAAGTGTCTATCATGCACTCTCAACCACTTTCCCCACCACCTTTTTTCCTTATTTTCTTTAGGAAGTTTTTGCATGCCCAGTATGAGATCATTGCAAATAGTCCAGCTCAGCTGAAATCATTACACTTTTGAGAGGGAAACTGAAAATTGTGTACAAAATTACATGCTTGCTAAAGATGAGTAGAGATCTAAAACATTTAAGTAATTCTTTTTCTGTGCATTGTTTTATATTCTAAAATGCTATCTATACATACTTTAGTATTTGATAAGCACTTGTTACTAAAATCCCCTCCTAACATAGTAACATCATTTTCTTATCATATTTTATTAGTTTCACAAGTAAAATTGACTTTTGCAACATACATGTTGAAGAAAGCATGACCCTATTTCACTTAGATGAGGTTCCTCTTTGTTGTACTGTTTTTCAAGATCCTTCAGAAACTTCCTTTGGAACTTGTAGATATCTTCAATATTTCCAAAGATGGTGCTTAACTGAGCTGCGGTGAACATTCCTGTATGTTTGCGACACTGCCGAATATAACCCTGGAAATGAAATAAAAAGAAAACACAACTCATTTCAGGATATGAAAACAGGTTCTACCAGAGCTGGCACACGCCCTGTGATCTTTAGGCAGGTGAGTTATTTCCCAGTCACAGACACACACATGGACACGCAATTTCAGATTTGCATCTGAAATGTTTATTCTTGCAGTCCAGCTTCTGTCTCACAGTACCGTAAATGATTCAGGGAACCAGAAACCTGCAGATTGTGTAAAGCCCATTCGCATCTCCTTGCTACGATTACCTGCCAAGCCAGAGGCAAGCCCAGTGTAAGTCCCCTGCGTGTTACCCCTATAGCTGCGACTCTTTCTCATAGCAGTTGCTCTATGCTATAACATTTCTTCTCTACGCAGCTAAGAACAAAGCCTAAAACAATTGATGTAAAGGCAATATCTATTACTGCTGAACTACTGGCTCCCTAACCAGAACTAGTACCGTAAACAGTAGTTACAGACCAGACCAGAGTGAATTTGATCCTGAAAGCATCTGGACAAGCTCTGCAGCAGCTCTGCAAAGAATCTTCCTGAAAGCTAAGCCTTCCAAGTAACAGCTCTGAAAATAACTCTGAACAATCTAACAAATTATTAATCTTAGCTATTCAAAAACTGGTTTCACAAAAGCCTGGCTATTGAGCAACACCCTAAGCAGTACCCATGTGTTACTACATGTCCTGGTTTGAGCTGAACAGAACAAATTCTGTTCAGTGATTTTACTTCTCAACTAAGTCCCTTCTAAGAAACATCACACCTGTCTTGCACTTGCTCTGCAAGAAGGACACAGTCGAAGCCAGAGAAGCAAAATGAAGAACATGCTACAACGTTTTCAGAATGCTGCTGTTAGATAAAATCAGTATGGTACTGGCAGGATGTAAAAGTATTGGCAAGACAGCACATAAAAATACATCACTTTTCTGGCTTTTTTCTCTTTACTTTTAAGAATATATCAGGGGTCCAGTTCACTTTATTCATATCCAGTGATAAGTAGATACACAACTGAGTCCTCCAGTTTTAAAACAAATTCTGTTCTGCCTTCCAGTACTTAAAGGGGTCCTAAAAGAAAGGAGGGACTCTTTATCAGGGAGGGTAGTGACAGGATGAAGGGTAACGGTTTCCAGGTGAAAGAGAGTAGATTTAGATTATTATATGTTATATAGTACATAATTATATCAGAATACATATTATTATGTAATATATATTATTTTATAGTAGGAAGAGATTCTTCTCCGTAAAGGTGGTGAGATACTGGAGAAGGTTGCCCAGGGAAGCTGTGGATGCCCCATCCCTGGAAGTGTTCAAGGCCAGGCTGGATGGGGCTTTGAGCAAACAGGGCTAGTGGTGTAGAGGTGTCCCTGCCCATGGCAGGGGGGTTGGGACTAGCTGATCTTTAAGGTCCTTTCCAAGCCAAACCATTCTATTAGTAACTGACAGTAGATCACATTGGCGTTCACATAACCAAGAAGCAAAGGTGTGATCGGAGGCCTCTTAGGGCTGAAACACACAGCAACAGCTGCCACGCACAGCCAGCACATCCTCAGGTTCCTGTTTCACAAAGCCGAGCGTGCCAAGGAGGGTACAGCGCAGGAACAGCTGCTGAGCTCATACTTGTATCAGTTACGGCACCAGGATATAGATGAGTGCGAAGGTTAACTGGTGTGATAGGGGTTATCTGCCAGGCTCCTCCATTTGGCTTCTTTCAGGCAAGTTTCCCCCAAGTCGCTTTGGGAGCAGACAGCCGTAAAAAGCCATGCAGTTGCTCTGGTGAGGTCTATCAGGAAGCAACACTGAATATATTGCTGGCACTGTTAGGAATATTGTGGTCTCTCCCCCAACGATCTGCTCTGAGAGCTGTGTAGCAGCTATGCTGCAAGCCAGCTACCACAGGTACTACGCTGGGAGGATAACTCTGGCAAGGAAAACTAATTTCTGTGCAGCTCTTCTAACATGGACTGTGGACACTCCTTGAATGTAATGTAAGCATGAATATTTCTGGGTATATTCAAGCTTCATGATCCCAGCCCTAGAGATTAACCCTACTGCAGAGCTTGCAAATTTGGATTACTATCCGCAGTAGCTTTTCTGGCTTACTTTTGAGTATATCTTTTGGCCTCATGTCCTGCTTGCACCACCTTATAGATTTACTTTGAGGAAAACAGACCACCTCTACCCCACACTGAACGTGGAGCACCACTTCTCTACTTGGAAAATGTGTGTTTGCACTCTTGTACTAAACTCAGAGGCATGTCAAGATTTTTTAAAAAGAGGCACAGAATATATGTATTAGAGAAAAGTAATTACTAATATCAGTCTAAGAGTTAGTAGGTCAGTAAAATATGAAAGTCATGTCCTAGAACTCAGCTAACTATTGTAGCGACACAGCTGCATGTACAAATTCCTCCCTGATCTCTTACGCCCACAGTCAAGCTTACTAGCTTGAGTAAACAGTGAATCTAAATGACAAAACTTACATTTAAAGTTTTAGAATTAGCCAATTAGAAACCAATTATTGTCTTTCTGGTTTCCCTTTCTTTTCTTCAAAATGCATAAAAAAGACCTGATTTTAAATCAGAACAATACACTGCTGTCTTGTCTACTTTGTTGTCCCTGAAACAATCTAATGATGAGTGGTGGACTAAAGGGTGACAACATGACAAATACAGAGAGAGATGCAGTAAACCAAGGGTACAAAGAATATTTTGGTAGGCTGCTTAGCACTCTTCCAGATGCTAACCACAAATATAAGTCAAATACAGGTGAAATGCATCACAGTCCACATTAGAAGATGCAACTTCACTGAAAAGCGTTAAGAAGCTTTTTGTCCTAGTGTGAGGCTCCAACAAAACTTGAACAAAAAGCAGAAAAACATCCACATTTTATGGTTCAAACAAGTGAGGTAGTTGTAAAACACCTTGAAAGATTCTTTTTTAGCTTTTAAGTATCCACCAAAAATCTCTTTGTTTTAGAAAATTAAAAAAAATCTCACTCAGCAAATACTCTTTTTGCAAGTTACTTTCAAAAAGTTTGCCCCTGAACGGTAACTAATTTTACTAAAGTTAGTAAAAGTTTTCTGTCTAAACCAAGTGGTAAAAATTCTAAATAAATTGAACTTCTTTCACTTTTTCCATGTCAAAAGCAGAATTGAAGTTTTTTTCCCTATGAAAAAGGGGAGTCGTGCCTTGTGGCAGTTGGCAGAGAGGAAAGCCATAAGAGGATACAAGAAGGGTCTGAGCGACAGCCTCAGAAACGCAATTGAGAATATTTCAATATGAGAAACCACCTCGGTTCTCAACTTATATGGGATGTTTTGTGCACATTAGGTCAGCAGAATGCCCCCAGGTTAAAATATGTACCTCACAGATGTCCTTGAGGTGCTTGATATAGACTCGTTCTGTGTTCATAATTTCCTGTATAACGTTGGTTCTCATCTGATCCTTGTTTTCAGCTATTTTCTGCCGATGCTTGCTAATATCTGCATCTTGTTCTTCATCCTGGATACTACTGCAATTTTCTGGTACTTCTTCCTGATTAACTCGCAGCTGCGGCCAGAACAAACAAAGCAAACTAGACGAAGGCAGCAAACTTTTACAGTATGTGATAAAATCATTACAAACGTCTTACAATGAAGAGAAGACTTGCTAGAGAAAAGTTCCCATTCTTAGTCTGTAGAGATGGTTTCACAAAAGGATTTATCTCATTTTACTCACTGCATTTTCTAGTAAAGTGTTAACATTTCTGTCTAGTTAGATGCATGGCTTTCTACTCACATTATCTGAGAGGCACCATTGTTGTGTTGCCTGTATAGTTTTCAGGCTTAAGCTTAATTCTGACTGTTACTAATAATTTATGTGTTATTTTGGCCAAGACAGTACATTGGTAAAAGTTACAAACTTTTAAATATTACACTTTGAAATAGTTTCCCTCTGCCCCAGTTCCCCATCTGTATGATGCAAATAACAGCACCTCCTTTTTCAACTTTTATTCGATTGCCCATGTTGGCTGGAGATCTAGGATAGGCAAAGGCAGGAACCATCTCTTGCACTTCGCACAGTACTTGAAACGGTGTGGTCCAAGCTTCATTACAGGCTCTCAAAAAGTATTTAAAATTAATTTCAAAAACATGGTTCAATTTTATACCATTCGAGAGTTATACTGTCATTAATGTGGCTGAGTTCTGATTGGGGATTTCAGACTGTGAATCAGACTCCTACACAATGTTGTGATAACAAATGAAGACGTATTTTACCAAAAAAATCCCTGCAGCACAGCTTTTCCCATTCCCTCATGAAAACTGCATCGTCTCTGTACACACAGACTGCTCCAGGTTGAGCTTTCTGCTGCCCTCATTTCTGCTTGAGAAACTTCTTTGGTTACAAAAGGACCACAGACCACACAAGGAAGCCAGAGTAAAGGGTGTCAGACGAGCTAAGGGATCTCGGGGTGTGGATTCTCTGTTGTTTTTTTCCCTTGTTAAGTCACCAATATTCAGATACACAGATGACAAGGATCAGGCCCTTCACTTAAATGTAATGCCACGACCATTGCTGTTGCACTCCGCCAGGAATCTTGTGTGACAATGGTGCAAAATCAAGAGTTACTCACCCTGACAAAGCTAGCTGGAAACCAGGCTTCCTTGTCCTCATTCCTTCCCCACCACCAGTCTTTGTTGGAAGCTTCTAGAACTCTAATGACATCTCCAGCTTTGAAGCCCAGCTCTTGATCATCCATAGTCACATGGTCCCAGAGAGCTTCTGCATAGACAATGCTGCCATCGCTTATCAGCTGAGATGGGAAGAAAATGAGGTTGTGAAGTACAAAAGATCACAGAATCACAGGATCACAGAATGTCAGGGGTTGGAGGGGACCTCAAAAGATCATCTAGTCCAGCCCCCCTGCCAGAGCAGGATCACCCACAATAGGTCACATAAGAACATGTCCAGGTGGGTTTTGAATGTCTCCAGAGAAGGAGACTCTACAACCTCCCTGGGCAGCCTGTGCCAGTGCTCTATCACCCTCACAGTGAAAAAGTTTTTTCTGATATTTTTGCGGAACCTCCTATGTTCCAGCTTGTACCCTTTGCCCCTTGTCCTGTCATTGGATGTCACTGAAAAGAGCCTGGCTCCTTCCTCCTGACACTCCCCCTTGACATAATTATAAACATTTACGAGGTCACCTCTCAGCCTCCTCTTCTCCAAGCTAAAGAGACCCAGCTCCTTCAGCCTTTCCTCATCAGGGAGATGCTCCACTCCCTTCATCATCTTTGTGGCTCTGTGCCGGACTCTCCCAAGCAGTTCCCTGTCTCTCTTGAGCTGCGGGGCCCAGAACTGGACACAATATTCCAGATGTGGCCTCACCAGGCAGGAGGACCTCTCTCGACCTACTAGCTACCCCCCTTCAAATACACCCCAGGATGCCATTGGCCTTCTTGGCCATGAGGGCACATTGCTGGCTCATGCTCACCCTGCTGTCCACCAGGACCCCAGGTCCCCTTCTCCTACGCTGCTATACAATGAACTGTTTATAAATACCTCACTAGAATGCCCACAATTACTCCTATTACAGGATAAAACTAAAATTCTGAATTTTCAGAAATCTATGTGTATATTTATTAGCGAGAACAATTAAAGCCCTACTCCAGAGCAGTACCATAGGCTAATGAGTTACACCCGCAGAGAAGTACTAGTCACTGCATTCTTCCCTTGGCATCTGCTCATGGGCCCTGCCAGAGAGAGGACATGGTGGCTGCTGGATTCTTCTCTATGCTGGCTACGGCCATCACACTTTTTATTAATATGGAACCTCTGAACGCTGAAACACACGGCGCCATACCCCGCTGTTGTTATAGCAATTCAAAGCCCAGGACGTTACCTCGTTAATTGCTAGCTGCTCCCCTCCGGGCTGCAGGTACCTGGGGGTGGCTTGGCAGAGCTCCTCATAACTGTAATCTTCCTCACTGCCATTGTCATCCACTAAGGCTGAAGACTCAGTCCCACCATCTGCAGCAACTAAAACAAAGGGGCAACAGCTGTTTGCTTCATCATTGTTATGATTCCCCCCCAAAAAACAATGCAAGAGGAATCACTGAGGAGTTGCCTTTGTTGTCATGAATACAACAATAACAGCAGAAGAGGAGGGCAGCAGACTTCTCAGGAAAACTGCTTTTCCGCCGTTAAAAACTTTTTTACTCTTCTTTGGAATTCTCTCATTTAGCAGCTGACAAAACTGAAAGGTTCTCCTTTTTGTGTACAAAAAATGGAACTTACAGGCACAATTTATTTATTTTTCACCCAAAGGAAATCTCAATCCGACTTGAATCACTCAATGTCATTTCCCGCACGGCAGATGAGAGAACTCCAGCAAGCCCCCACTGGCAGTCAGAGGGGGCCATTGTCAGCCCCAGGCTGGGTGACACCACATCTTCTGCAGGATGTCACCACCCAATGTTCCCACCCACCCATGAGAGGGGTGGGCAGCCCTGGCTCCGAGTTGGCTGCCACCACCTCATCCACGTGCTGGGGGGAGGCTCTGGCAGCACTGAGATACCTTCGAGGCTGCCCCAGGGTGACGAGTCGGACTCAGCATGGTGTAACTGCCTGAGAAAAATACTTGTTCTAATCGCCCCAAATCACAAAAAAAAAAAAATAATCTTGATTTGACAATTGTGTGTTTTCTGAGCAAAGAGGCAGCTTTGTAAAGAACCGTGGCCAGAACTAGGATGGGCTTCATCTTATCAAAGAGCCACATAAAAAAACATCATCTAAGTCATTGTCACTATGCACATGTAAATCTGCAGCTACTGTGTAAAGCTGTAAAACACATTTGGGGTACGTCATCCCCTCTGGGGTGGTAGATCCATGGGGCGATCATCTCCGTACTGGCAGATGAAGAGGACTGGGGACTGATCTCAGGACCATGTGATGAGTGACCTCTACATCGCTCACTGCTAGACCCATGCAGAGCAGGTTTGCCTTTGAAAGCCAGCTGTAGTGTTCAAACAGAGCAGGGGATGAGCTAGTAATCAGGAAGCATGCAAGACCAGAGTGCACTCTCTGGTCCTCCTGGAGGCTTATACCTGTGGCAGGCCCAAGCTGTGACTAATTAGACAGTCTGAAGATCATACAGTGCTCAAAAATCCAATAAAAGTAAAAAATAAAAAATAATTTGAAAAACAATTCAGAACGGGCTGCTAGCACTGAACTCCTTTTCTAATGGTTACTGTGACCCAGATAAACTGCCACGCAGCCTGCAGAGCATCTCTCTCACTCCCAAGTGCCTGGGAAGGGACCTTTAAGAGGAATTATTGAACTGTCCCTTCCACCCAGCAGCAAGGCTGAGCAGCAGAGCCCAGACCCTGCCTCTCCCCTGCCCTGCTTCAAGCCTGGGTACCGCCTGCCCGCTGAGCTCTGGGCGGGTGACAGTCATAAAGAGATGACTTCTGGCTTTAGTCCACACACCTACACAGCTAACAGGCACGTAGCTGCCTATCTGTTCTTTACCTTATCAGGAGAAACACTTCAACCCCCTCCTTATAGGTGCTTTTACCCTCACTAATATCTTTGGTCACTTGAGTATTAATTTGCAAGAGAGATCAAAGCTGATTACTCCAAAGAAAAAACTTGGAAGATTTCTCTTTTCTTTAAAAATGGAAATATATGACAGTCTTGATGCCACAGCTGTTCAGTTGTTATCTTCTGCTTCCCAGCATTTTAAATACACATTCACATTAATGGTATAATCTGTCTAATCAAGAAGAATGCAGCATCCCTATTTAAAAAAACAAAGATTCTTTCTCCCTACAGACTCATGAATCTGAGCACTGATAAACTTCTGAAACACATCTTGTGAAACTTACTTAAACTGCTTTATTTAAAAAAATCTGCAAATAACTAATTTATTAGATCAGTTTTTAGCTTATAAAGTGACACTCAGAAAACTAATCCCAGTGATCTTTTATATATCTCCACTGTACTACCAATAGTGCCTGTTGGTTTGTTCCAGTAACAACGGTACACCAAAATAACCTAATTCATTTGACTCCAAACAAAAAAGAACTGCAATTTTGAGACCAGTAAGTGTTCATTATTCTGCACCAAATCAACAAGCTTACATTGTCTCCATAGTTAGACTCAAGCAAAAATCACTCACTTGCATTCTGCATCTATTCCCCTATTGTTTACAGGCAGTATCAGAGGTAGGTGTGGGCTTTTCTGATCGCACCAATGGGATGCAAAAACTTTAAAAAGACACCCTGGGACTGATTCGGATGTCCTAGCAGCTTTGTCACCAGTATAAGGAGGCAGGCTGCTGTGGATTGACACGGTATAAAGCGGGATCGGAATCAGGTCCCCTGACTGCCTCCATTTATCAGTTCAATCTAAAAACAGTGTAAAAAAACAGCAAGAGAGAGAGAAAGAGAGAGCAAGCACGTTCTACTCACACGTACCCATCTGAAGGCTTTCCAGGCTCCAAAATCGTCCCATTCCCCCCCTGGCTACCATACTGTCGCCAGACTCGTCCCCAGGGCAAGGGTTTGACCTCTCCCAGGTGATGCTTGAGCTGGTGGAGGACCACAAAAAGCTCTGAGATACCCAGGGCACGGAGAAACAGCTTGTTCACCTCCTTCAGCTCCCGGCCGTGCTGCCGAGGCCGAGCCGGGCTGGGAAGTGCCAGCAGCTCGGGCTCAGCCCCGGCTGAGCTGACATCATGGGGTGCCCTTAGGGAGGAAGTTCCAGAAAAGAAACAAAAACCTGGCTGCCTAGGCCCGGCCGTGCTGTGCCTGCGGCCGCCTGCGCCACCCTGACCGCTCCCAAAGCGCCTCTGCATCTCGAACACAGCGAGCCAAGCAGTACATTTGTTTTTCATTACAGCAGCTCAATGCGATTTCAATCTATATTCAAATGACAGCAATTCAAAGGGAAAGACTCTTTGGACGGGAGCTGGGAGTAACTTGTATTACAACATTGTTCAGAGTATCGGTCTATCTTTGCTGTATTATACCAGTTAAAATTCCAGTATAAATAAACAATGCAGGTATTTTTTGCATGGCTATTAAAACTTCTCTTACTTACAGGCAAATGCTGTATCATTATTTAGGGCACAAGCAGCCAAAGTGTTAAGGCTGCAGCAGACTACTCCCAGGAAAAAAGGAGAGGACAGAGACGTTTTCAAAGTTAATTCAGCTGCTCCAGAAAATAGAGAACAAAGCAGGAAAGTACTCAAACAGCCCAGCTTTCACTGGGACTGACCCAGACAGGGCACCACCTCATTCATTCACCATGGGCCAGCATTTATCACATCTGCATCGTTCTGCAGTGAAGCTGGATCAGTTCATGCTGTGGAAGGAAAGGCAGGAGCTGAGGGCAGAGCCTGCTGCAACCAGCACTTGTACACAGCACTACATTTACCGTTTGGAAAACTCCATAATCTTTATGGCTCATTCTTTACCTGCAAACCGTGTCGCTCAGCTGAGCCTGTCTTTTAACAGGGAACTGCCTCCTCCAGGGATGTGTTCACAAAAAAACACAGTGACCTCTCAACACCCACTGAAATCACATGGTTTTCCCCAGCGCTGCCTCAGAAGAAGGAAAGCCCAGACATTGTCCAGCAATACTACAGCCAGCTGCCTACAAAAATCCAGGCTGTGCCGCACTGCACAGGGCAGATAGGAATTCTCTTCCGAATCCCCAAACTTCCCTATTGTTTCTTGCTGCAAGGACACTTCTTGGATAGCACAGTAAGAAGCTACTATGTATTATAAGATGTCTATACACATCCCCACACATTTTTCCCAGCATTAAAAAAAAAAACTAAACAACCCAGCAAACAGAAACGACACCAAAGTGCTGATGATCCTGGGACCTGCAGGTGAAGGCTTCACGCTTTTATTCAACCAAAGCATGAGCTCTCTGCCATGTCAAACCTCTGTCTGCAGAGGAAAAACAGCTGAACTGCCAAAGAAAATGAGATCAAACCCCACATGACTCTTCTAGAAACACACTCTGAAAAGCAATCATTTGGTTTGATTTTTGCAGAACAGAACAGACTATGTGCTTCTGCCCGAGGACTAACCCAGTTGCCACTGTGGGATGCTGCTGGCGGAGCAGGGGATCTGTTCTCCCTCCTCTGCACGGGTACTTTTGGAAGCTGCAGCCACAAACTGCACCACCACTAAAGTACTCATTTGGGGTGGGCCGGTGGTGGGTTCATTTCCTCACAGGATCAGCCGGGGACAGCAGAAGGCGCAGGCTGCCCTTTGTAGAGGCGGTCCATGGCCACCCTGTCCAAATGCATGCCCAGCTGGCTTCCCCACTGCGCAGGGCGCTATGAAAAGGCTGTGGGTAGCACGTACTAAAATACTAAACCTAAAAGCTAGTTTACCCACCTCAAGAAAATCCAGTTCTAGATACCCCTCTGCTATCATACGACCCCCCACCCCAGAGTGCCTCCCACCCACTGCTCTGACAGCAGCCAGTGGCAGAAGCCCAGGGAAGAACATAAAAAGAGATGAGGCATGTAATGGCATTTTTCCGATGTACTTGCCTAAATTCCAGCTGTGTGCTGATCAGAGTCAGATCCCTACTAAGGCAGAAATTACGTCTTTGTGTTTAGTGAACTGGATTTTTCAATTCTCTTTTCGAATTTCTGTAAACTTTTGGGATGTGAAATATCACGTGTAACAATTGGTTTCATAGTTTAATTTTATAGAGTGTGAAAACTATCTTCTATTTTGAACTTGCTATCTGATTATGTCATTTGGTGCCCTTTAGTTCTTACATTAGTGGAAACAATAACAATTATCTGTTCATTTTTCCTATGCCAATCAGACTTTTATTGCCCTATTGTCCTTTTTTTTCCAAGTTGCAGAGCCCTAACTGGATTAATCATTTCTCACACAGAGACACTGAGTAGGTTTTCTTGTCCTTTTGCCTTTCTCTGTATCGTTGCCTCTAAAAAATGCCTTTTGATGTGGAAAGGAACAGGGGGAAGAAGGCCACACTAGTGGCGC